GACACGAGCTATGCATTAAAATATTCAAAGCGAATCGCATTACCTTTTACATCCTTGTCCATCAGATATTATAAATTAATAAATCTCCTTGCCTACTTATCCCTCCATTTGCGGTCAGAATTTCACCAATTCTGAAACGTCTGCTTTATAATCGTGAGTCTTAATTGCCAAGCTAGGTGCCCGATTTATTTCTCACACACGCACACGTGCGATTTAAATCCTATCTCCGGAGTAACAAACATTATCGGAAGCAAGGAACAAAATATTGTGACACGGAGAATAAAGACCAATCTTATTCCTCCTTCCACGTAAAAATTAGTCCGGAATTTCGCGATCAACCGAAAGCTCCCTGGAGCTCGTAAATATTGAAAATAGCAAAGAAATTTGATTAGTCAATTGCTACGATTAATACCGAATATTCTCATGCGAGGGAATTCGCGGGTAAACAATTATTTCGAAATTCCAGTACACCAGAGAAACATGTACTCCAATTGATATTCCAAGATATATATCGCGACTCCGTTTTCCAGACGACAAAGGGAGATTGAAGTTTAAATTTCGCGAGCAAATCAGGTAAAATTCGAATTCGTTAAGGCAATAAAATTTGACAAATTGTGCGTGTTCAGTTATGTATGTTTAATTTCACGTATTGAGTATATTTAATTTTGTCACACGGTGTCCCCGATTTCGCTGTCAAATATCCGCTGTCATGCGATAAATTGCTGTTGTTCCAGCTGGGAGCACAGTCTCTGCAGGACTACTTAATTATAGAAAATTGCAGAAAGCACCTCTGTAGTTTCCTTTCAATTAATCGACCTGCCATAAGTTACGTTTCATTAAGATTCGTTTATAATAATATCGTAATAGAATTTCGCGTGAAATTCGACATTAGTTCGTCGCGTTACGTTTCCTGGACATCCTTGGCTGATGAATGTTTCAGCTTCCAGGAACGGGAATCGATGGAACCATGAAGCGAACTATGACGTTGATCTATCGACAAACGGCTTTTTCAAGCTTCCATCTAAGCTTTTTCTTATCATAATCGCTTCGTTTTCTTATATTCCTTTTCTTCTGTCATTTAATCTATAATGCATAAAACGTAACAGCATCCGTAATTTCGTGAAAGTCGATTTTTCATAGAACGAGAGAAATGTTTTCGAAATTGTTATTCGAAGAGTTATTATACGATATAAAATTTTGGTTTATATTTATTTTTGAAAATTATGGAAATTGGAAATATCGTCATCGAGTTGCTTGTAATTTGCAAACTGCTTTTTGTAATTAAAACAATCGTCGAAATACGGACGTAATACGCAAATATAATTTTTATAACGTTTAATTGATTACATGCCCGTTTAATGCGAGCGTAATTCTTGTCGGAGAACCGTGTGCGAATATTCGCAAATTCTATTCACCGCTTTACCCGGGGGGTAATTTAAAACTTCAAACCAAAGCAATCGTTAGAGAGAAGCGGTAAGCATTGAACTGAGAACCATCTAACTTGCAGGTTTGATCTCCTTCTCCTTTTCAGCTTGCTTCATTTAACCACAGTAGCTGCAAATCGGGAATTATCGGAAAGTCAGAGAAAAGATAGATTGCTCACTCGCTATCTTTCTGCATTCTATGCCCAGACCTAGCATTTCGTTCAAATGGATTTCAATAAGTTGTTTCTGCGATGCCGAAAGTATATCGGTGTTTGATGCATAGAACCGGCTGCCAAGTTAATTAGGGTAGTTCGAAGAGCGGGTGCTCGCGCTTCAATGAAATCAGTTCACGGAGATGTCTATCCTTCAGAAATAAATGAATACGTGCACTCTAAAACTGCTGTCTTCTTCTTTATCCTTTCATTCTGCTGCTTCGATAAAATTAATTTACCTTTGTGAAATGCACCGGCTCGCTAAATATAAATTCGCCAAATAGATCCGAAAAGTAATTCCGAAAGTGGTATGAAACAAATATTTGGTTTATAGTATAATAGAGTAAAATTATTTTCAGTAAAATATCGAAAAATAAATGTGAAGGTTATCATAAATGAACGACGATGAGATTATTTATTGATTACGATACGATTACATTGATCGAATAAATAAATAATTTTATATCGATCATGCAATCTTGCGTTTGTGTATGAAAATACGAGACTAAGTCTATTAATCTATTCAATGAAAAATAAAGTAAAGAAACTGTTAATGAATTAGTGAAAAAATCGGTGACTGAAGTTGTAAGAAATCCAACACTTAAAATAAATGGATTTAGTTTTATAGTAACTACTGCAGTGTTTATAGCAAACTGCTTGGAATAGCAACTGCTAGTCCAAGACCCAGAGGATGCGTCAGTCCTTTAATGACATGTGTCGAGATAGGAGGTACACCATTTAGATTAGGTGGTGGAGACACACCTTTATTCAGAACCAGTCAAAGACCAACATTTAGAATGGGAAACTCCAAAGAGAGAGCAGCTTGCACTGCAATTGGCAGGAAAAGCTGGTGAAAGACACAGGGATAGGGAAACCAAAGCTTTGGAAGCAGCAGGAAAATTACTAGTAACGTATCACATACACACGCAATTATTTAACAGATGTATTCTGATTTTTATCTTCTTTCTAGACTTCAGCTTTCCCAATTATCAATTAGATTCGATTCCTAAAGTAATTATTAATTACTAACGAAACGTTTGATAATTTATCACTGTCGATACATCGAATCATATATGCACGAAATAATGGATTAAAAGATACAAGTCTCCAAGTTTACCTATGCCTTAGGTTTTCAGCGTGACAATTAACCCTTGCCTGCAAACTGCCTCGATAAGTAGCACCCCCAAACTTAATCACTCCACTCTGGTCCACATACACAATTATTTAACAGATCTATTCTGATTTCTATCTTCTTCTGAGGCTTCAACTTTCCCAATTTTCAATTAGATTCGATTCCTAAAATAAGTATCAATTACAAACGAAACGTCTGATAATTTATCACTCTCGATACATCGAATCATATACGCACGAAGTAACGGATCAAAAGTAGGAGTCTCCAAGTTTACCTACGACCTCCGTTTCCAGCGTGACAATTAACCCCTGCCTGCATACTGCCTCGATAAATAGCACCCCTAAACTTAATCGCTCCACTTTGGTGGCCCACCCCATTCTCCGTTGATCCCGAAAGAGGGTTCCTCGACAGCCGCGGTGCGTCCAAAAAATACGCCAGCATCCCTGCCTCTATTTATCCTCGTAATTGCGAGGAACTCGCACGGAAAATTCGCGCCCCGGCTCCGGATGACCCGTCGAGAATCGCTCGAGTATCGTTAATGAACATCTCGAAACTCCAACCCGAAGAACCTGCGGACCTTCTCAATTATTGTTTCTACCATCTCTGTGTGCAAGGGAGCCAGCACACAGGGAAATATGATTTTGAATGGGATGCATCGGGACGATTCCACGGGGTACGGATATAAGGCGGGTGAATGGTATACATAATATACTCCCGCATCCAGGCGACTAAGGATTGGTTGGAAGCCGGCCAGTTGGCCGCAACCCAATCCGTTATTTCATTCTTTTTGAATCCACCCTCTGTACCACCTCGTACTCACCCTGCCGCCTTGCCACACCCACCAACGCGACCACCACCCTTCCTCGACCCCCATCCTTCTCGCTTTCACACCACACTGCACTCTCTGTGCGCCAGCACGTTTCTTTCTGTCGCATGCTAAATTCGCATAAGCGGCCGACCCCTTTGACGACGAAAATTAAATTCCCATCGGAACCCTCCGAGCTACGGCCGTGGATGATAATGTGTGTGCAGCCTGACGCGACGGTATTTATGCGAGCCGACCGCGCGATGAATTAGTATCGATTTACGTTTAAACCTTGCTCGTGTTAGTCGTGACACTTGTTCCTGGTAGGGAACAGGGAGAAGCAGGTGTAAGTACCGGTCTGTTTGGCGGAGAAGTGATTTAGACTAATGATTTTTTAACATAAATAGGTTAATATTTTTTTGTCAAAAATATGAGAAGCATCGGCTGATTTAAAAAAATATTAATGACCATTAATAATAAAATAAAAATAATAGTAACAATTAATAAACCATTCAACTTCATCTGAAACATATTTCGCTATGCATAATAATAACGACGTATATCTAGATGGCAATATGAGATGACCCACTCTGTATATAAACAAATATATATAAATACATAATAAAATCAAAATATCAAAAATATTCCATGCAAATTATCTGTTGCAAAGAGTCGAAGGATATTTATACAAAATCATAGAAACGAGTTCATATTCGCAATGGAAACGAACCAGGTGTTCCTAGCGAGTCTGAACATGGACCTATCGTTTGACAATTATCGAAAATTAACGAGCATGGAATATGCAATTCGCGGAAAAGTAAGAAGGTAAACTGTCCATTGGAGACAAACATTGGACGATATCACGCAGTATGAAACTAAATAATTCCACGAGCAGCTGGGCAAAGGATTCATTATCGAATAACCCCGTTCGATCATTAGTCATTGAAAACGTTTTCGGAACTTTCGATCACGCGATCCGTTTTCACGCGAATTTCAAATTGAAATTTCCGAGAATCCTGAAACGCATCGAAAAGTCTACGATGACCTCGTGTCCGGAAAATAACTCGGGGTTGGTCTGGTCCAGAAGGTGCACCGTCCTCTGTGCATACAAAAGATTTATCCACGTTCCATGGTGATCGAAATAATTAGATTTCATGTAGCGCACGGACGTCGAAATTAATTTTCAGTCGGGTAATCCCGGAAACGTTAGAAGCACGCGTAGCTCTGATGAAAATCTGGATTAGATAAAGCACGCCGGTGGTAAGACGCAGCTGGTGTCGACCTATGAAACGATTGATCGCTGGATCCTTTGTGTCCTAGAACTTGCCTGGGATTTTAGAATTGCTAATCGTCCTGGAAGCGCTTTCACGGCGAGCAAGTCGGCCGTGTGACGGGACGAACCCCCGATAAGGGTTGTAAAAACTCACCTAACAGATCCCACTCGCCGTTAGTGATGAAACTGCTGATGTCACCACCGGACTCGTCTTGCAGTTGCAGGTCCAACTGTTGAAAATTTATTACCATCGATTAGGTGGAAGTTATTGTGACCGCAGTGCGCAACAGTTTCCATCGCGGCAAGTGCAATTTAGGGTGATACTATGGAAATAAGGTGGACACCGATTTTCTGCTCTAATAATTCCTAATGGTTATTGATCAAGGAAAATTTCTGCAAACTTCGCAAAATTACAGAGAATTGTAAATAATAATGTTCACTCAATTTCCGTTATCGAAAATGAAAGAATTATTTTTATTCGTTCTCACTGAACATTCATTCGTATGTACTCGGATGTTGAAAAAGGGTCGAGGATGAGTTAATTACCGAAATAATGACACATCCTCCCTAAAGAATTTTCGTGACACGAGCTATGCATTAAAATATTCAAAGCGAATCGCATTACCTTTTACATCCTTGTCCATCAGATATTATAAATTAATAAATCTCCTTGCCTACTTATCCCTCCATTTGCGGTCAGAATTTCACCAATTCTGAAACGTCTGCTTTATAATCGTGAGTCTTAATTGCCAAGCTAGGTGCCCGATTTATTTCTCACACACGCACACGTGCGATTTAAATCCTATCTCCGGAGTAACAAACATTATCGGAAGCAAGGAACAAAATATTGTGACACGGAGAATAAAGACCAATCTTATTCCTCCTTCCACGTAAAAATTAGTCCGGAATTTCGCGATCAACCGAAAGCTCCCTGGAGCTCGTAAATATTGAAAATAGCAAAGAAATTTGATTAGTCAATTGCTACGATTAATACCGAATATTCTCATGCGAGGGAATTCGCGGGTAAACAATTATTTCGAAATTCCAGTACACCAGAGAAACATGTACTCCAATTGATATTCCAAGATATATATCGCGACTCCGTTTTCCAGACGACAAAGGGAGATTGAAGTTTAAATTTCGCGAGCAAATCAGGTAAAATTCGAATTCGTTAAGGCAATAAAATTTGACAAATTGTGCGTGTTCAGTTATGTATGTTTAATTTCACGTATTGAGTATATTTAATTTTGTCACACGGTGTCCCCGATTTCGCTGTCAAATATCCGCTGTCATGCGATAAATTGCTGTTGTTCCAGCTGGGAGCACAGTCTCTGCAGGACTACTTAATTATAGAAAATTGCAGAAAGCACCTCTGTAGTTTCCTTTCAATTAATCGACCTGCCATAAGTTACGTTTCATTAAGATTCGTTTATAATAATATCGTAATAGAATTTCGCGTGAAATTCGACATTAGTTCGTCGCGTTACGTTTCCTGGACATCCTTGGCTGATGAATGTTTCAGCTTCCAGGAACGGGAATCGATGGAACCATGAAGCGAACTATGACGTTGATCTATCGACAAACGGCTTTTTCAAGCTTCCATCTAAGCTTTTTCTTATCATAATCGCTTCGTTTTCTTATATTCCTTTTCTTCTGTCATTTAATCTATAATGCATAAAACGTAACAGCATCCGTAATTTCGTGAAAGTCGATTTTTCATAGAACGAGAGAAATGTTTTCGAAATTGTTATTCGAAGAGTTATTATACGATATAAAATTTTGGTTTATATTTATTTTTGAAAATTATGGAAATTGGAAATATCGTCATCGAGTTGCTTGTAATTTGCAAACTGCTTTTTGTAATTAAAACAATCGTCGAAATACGGACGTAATACGCAAATATAATTTTTATAACGTTTAATTGATTACATGCCCGTTTAATGCGAGCGTAATTCTTGTCGGAGAACCGTGTGCGAATATTCGCAAATTCTATTCACCGCTTTACCCGGGGGGTAATTTAAAACTTCAAACCAAAGCAATCGTTAGAGAGAAGCGGTAAGCATTGAACTGAGAACCATCTAACTTGCAGGTTTGATCTCCTTCTCCTTTTCAGCTTGCTTCATTTAACCACAGTAGCTGCAAATCGGGAATTATCGGAAAGTCAGAGAAAAGATAGATTGCTCACTCGCTATCTTTCTGCATTCTATGCCCAGACCTAGCATTTCGTTCAAATGGATTTCAATAAGTTGTTTCTGCGATGCCGAAAGTATATCGGTGTTTGATGCATAGAACCGGCTGCCAAGTTAATTAGGGTAGTTCGAAGAGCGGGTGCTCGCGCTTCAATGAAATCAGTTCACGGAGATGTCTATCCTTCAGAAATAAATGAATACGTGCACTCTAAAACTGCTGTCTTCTTCTTTATCCTTTCATTCTGCTGCTTCGATAAAATTAATTTACCTTTGTGAAATGCACCGGCTCGCTAAATATAAATTCGCCAAATAGATCCGAAAAGTAATTCCGAAAGTGGTATGAAACAAATATTTGGTTTATAGTATAATAGAGTAAAATTATTTTCAGTAAAATATCGAAAAATAAATGTGAAGGTTATCATAAATGAACGACGATGAGATTATTTATTGATTACGATACGATTACATTGATCGAATAAATAAATAATTTTATATCGATCATGCAATCTTGCGTTTGTGTATGAAAATACGAGACTAAGTCTATTAATCTATTCAATGAAAAATAAAGTAAAGAAACTGTTAATGAATTAGTGAAAAAATCGGTGACTGAAGTTGTAAGAAATCCAACACTTAAAATAAATGGATTTAGTTTTATAGTAACTACTGCAGTGTTTATAGCAAACTGCTTGGAATAGCAACTGCTAGTCCAAGACCCAGAGGATGCGTCAGTCCTTTAATGACATGTGTCGAGATAGGAGGTACACCATTTAGATTAGGTGGTGGAGACACACCTTTATTCAGAACCAGTCAAAGACCAACATTTAGAATGGGAAACTCCAAAGAGAGAGCAGCTTGCACTGCAATTGGCAGGAAAAGCTGGTGAAAGACACAGGGATAGGGAAACCAAAGCTTTGGAAGCAGCAGGAAAATTACTAGTAACGTATCACATACACACGCAATTATTTAACAGATGTATTCTGATTTTTATCTTCTTTCTAGACTTCAGCTTTCCCAATTATCAATTAGATTCGATTCCTAAAGTAATTATTAATTACTAACGAAACGTTTGATAATTTATCACTGTCGATACATCGAATCATATATGCACGAAATAATGGATTAAAAGATACAAGTCTCCAAGTTTACCTACGCCTTACGTTTTCAGCGTGACAATTAACCCTTGCCTGCAAACTGCCTCGATAAGTAGCACCCCCAAACTTAATCACTCCACTCTGGTCCACATACACAATTATTTAACAGATCTATTCTGATTTCTATCTTCTTCTGAGGCTTCAACTTTCCCAATTTTCAATTAGATTCGATTCCTAAAATAAGTATCAATTACAAACGAAACGTCTGATAATTTATCACTCTCGATACATCGAATCATATACGCACGAAGTAACGGATCAAAAGTAGGAGTCTCCAAGTTTACCTACGACCTCCGTTTCCAGCGTGACAATTAACCCCTGCCTGCATACTGCCTCGATAAATAGCACCCCTAAACTTAATCGCTCCACTTTGGTGGCCCACCCCATTCTCCGTTGATCCCGAAAGAGGGTTCCTCGACAGCCGTGGTGCGTCCAAAAAATACGCCAGCATCCCTGCCTCTATTTATCCTCGTAATTGCGAGGAACTCGCACGGAAAATTCGCGCCCCGGCTCCGGATGACCCGTCGAGAATCGCTCGAGTATCGTTAATGAACATCTCGAAACTCCAACCCGAAGAACCTGCGGACCTTCTCAATTATTGTTTCTACCATCTCTGTGTGCAAGGGAGCCAGCACACAGGGAAATATGATTTTGAATGGGATGCATCGGGACGATTCCACGGGGTACGGATATAAGGCGGGTGAATGGTATACATAATATACTCCCGCATCCAGGCGACTAAGGATTGGTTGGAAGCCGGCCAGTTGGCCGCAACCCAATCCGTTATTTCATTCTTTTTGAATCCACCCTCTGTACCACCTCGTACTCACCCTGCCGCCTTGCCACACCCACCAACGCGACCACCACCCTTCCTCGACCCCCATCCTTCTCGCTTTCACACCACACTGCACTCTCTGTGCGCCAGCACGTTTCTTTCTGTCGCATGCTAAATTCGCATAAGCGGCCGACCCCTTTGACGACGAAAATTAAATTCCCATCGGAACCCTCCGAGCTACGGCCGTGGATGATAATGTGTGTGCAGCCTGACGCGACGGTATTTATGCGAGCCGACCGCGCGATGAATTAGTATCGATTTACGTTTAAACCTTGCTCGTGTTAGTCGTGACACTTGTTCCTGGTAGGGAACAGGGAGAAGCAGGTGTAAGTACCGGTCTGTTTGGCGGAGAAGTGATTCGTAATTTTAGTAGCCAGTTTCTCAAGCTATTGGCCGGTTCATCCGTGACGAATCCGGCTGTTTCGGGTAGATCAGCCTTGTGGATCGTCTCGTATATGTTTAGGACTTGGTCGACGTGCTATCGGCGCGATTATGACGGGGTTTGTGTCAAACGGCTGTCTACGTGGGGACAATAGCTGTACGAACGAAGAGAATCTCGTTTGCAGAGTCAGAGGTGCGAAGCACCTCTTACCGTCTCGGACTCGTTAAGATCAATTTCGACCCGACACCCCATCTCGACGTCGAACCAAGGCAGAAGGTTAATAAATAAGGAAGTCGACGCAAAATCCACCAATTAATTTTCCAATCCTTTAATTCCCCTATTTTTCCGGACAGTTGCCACAAACAGTTTCTCCTCGAGCCTACCCTTCGCGAAACCCTCGAAACGTGCTCTCCCGGTAGCTAATGTTTCAATTATTAGGTCAGTGGCGTCGATCGATGGAACCTTCGTCTTCGTTTTCATTTTTAACCGAACGTCGTCGATAAAATGCCGCAAATGATATTGGCATACATTAGAGAACATTAACAATTTACCGCGATTTCATGCGGCTACGATGTCGCCTCGATAGAGTTCGACTCGATACGTTCGATGCCTCCGCCTCTTGAAAGGGGAAAAAAGGGAATGGCGCGGTGGAAAAGAAAGAAGAAAAAAAGGAAAAAGGGAAGGAAGAAAATTCATTTCATAAAGTTCGTCACGACTGTCCGTGCCAGCATCCTATGGTCGACAGATCGACAGGCATCGCTCGATGCATATACACGTAGAATGCACGACTGCATACCAGGGCCACTCGTATTTGTACGAGCCAAGTCCGACCAGGTAAATAGTTTCGGTTCATCGGCCTTCAAACTCTTTCCAACGGCACTCCATGGCCCGGTGAATTCGTGGTACACAGAGAGAAGCCGGAAAACAGAAACGCAAGAGGGGCACGTTCGTGATCGGGGTTACAGGTACGTATGTGAAAAAGGGCGACGTCGTATGGGGTTCACGATTGGGCTCTTTGTATCGAGGCATTATCCACGAGCTTCGCGATCGCCAAAAAGAGACGCCTGGGCTCGTGAACGAAAGAAGATTAAGTGGAAACGAGTGCAGTTTACGCGAGAGCCACCGGTGAATCGCATTTACTCTCGTTCATTTCGCATGAATGAACTGCTACGGAAAATAAACGAGGAACGGATCCATCCAATGATACCCAAATACCGTCGTTCGCGACAACGAAATGGCACGGCTGAAAACCAAGTATTCCCTTCATATAAGGAATTCGGATTTTGAAATCTATTTTGAGGGTAGTTTCCATATTTGAAATCTAAGTATTTCCTTGCTATAAAGAATTCGGATTTTCAAACCCATTTTGAAGGTTGTTTCCATATTTGAAATCTAAGTATTCCCTTGCTATAAAGAATTCGGATTTTAAAACCCATTGTAAGGGTTGTTTCCATACTTGAAAACCATGTATTCCCTTGTTATAAGGAATTCGGATTTTGAAATTAATTTTGAGGGTTATTTGCATACTTGAATACCAAGTATTCCCTTGCTATAAGGAATTCGGATTTTGAAATTAATATTAAGCGTTGTTTCCATGCTTGAATACTACGTATTCCCTTAAAATAAGGAATTTAGATTTTAAAATTAATTTTGAGGGTTGTTTTCATACTTGAAAACCAAGTATTCCTTTGCTATAAGGAATTCGGATTTTGAAATTCATTTTGAGGATTATTTCCATGCTACCGTTTCGAATTTGGTCGATAAGAATGGCGTATTTAATGAAAAGGACGAAGGTAATAAAATTATTTTTATACGTACCACGATATGGAATGCATATGTTATTAATTCATTTTAACGCTAGAATTATTTGCCAACCAATGCTAAAATATTTTAACTGTATCTAGATAAACGTTATAGGCTGCCAGTACTAGTGTTAAAATTATTTTTATACGTACTACGATGTATAATACATATGTTAATAATTAATTGTAACGCTAGAATTATTTACCAACCAATGCTAAAATATTTTAACTATATCTATGTAAACGTTATAGGCTGACAGTTCTAGGGTTAAAATTATTTTCATACGTTCAGGAGGAATGAGATAAAAATGGCGTATTTAATGAGAAGGAAGAAGGTAATAAAATTATTTTTATACGTTTTATATACCACGATATATAATGCATATGTTAATAATTAATTTTAACGCTAGAATTATTTACCAACCAATGCTAAAATATTTTAACTATATCTGGGTAAACGTTATAGGCTGACAGTTCTAGTGTTAATATCAATGTTATATATTATACATGTATTATGTATATATTGATATTAAATTGGTATTAAAATTGTTTTAAGAATGACGCGATTAAAATCATTCGCGAATGAATAAGAAATTGCGCTACTTGAAGCTAATTTCGATAATGATCGATAAGCTATGTTAGGTATCTCGGGGTGTGTACATCAAATCGAATGTATATAACCCAGAGGAGCGTCGTATATTCCACTTTCCTTCCCCTCGCACCTACCCCTTACTACTTCGTCCTGCTTATTGTCCTCCTTAATGAACCCTCAAGCATTCTCGAATTCCGTCGCACCGTGTAATTCGCATCCTCAATTTTAATTATTCAGAATGATCACAGACGACAAATGAAGGAAGACAGGTCGGGCGTTTCAGACGTTTTGCAGAACTACAGCAATAGCAAACATTTCATCCCTTATTGTGTTTCGCGTTTCAGCAATCCGGACGAGGTTCACAAGAGTTCTCAAACCGATTGTCACTTTGATTATTTCATAAAAAGGTTAGGAAGTTGTATTTATACAATATACTCGTCGACGAAATCATATTTATACAAGTTACAAAAATATATTTCGTGGTAAAAAATTGTGGAATATTTAATTATTAAAACGAGTTTCCTCATTTTCTCTATTTTCACGGTAAAATAATTATTTTGGGTCGGATGATAATTGTAAATATACGAAACAAAAATTTATTAGATTTTATTGCGTTAGTTAATACTGAGAGCTGTAATCACCCACACCAGTGTTAAATAAAATACAAAAATGTGTTCCAGCGCGAGATTTAATATTTGCTTGGAAAGAATTATTAAAATCAACAGGAGTGATTAAAATTTGAAGTATTTGCACGAAAATGGCCGATTAAGGAGCAAGTTAGAAACTAATAAAAATTCTCGATTTGTAGCTTCTCAATTTGCAGCAATCAACGCGAAAGTATTACGTCGAAGATATTTGGATATAGTCCATCCAGCCATTGTATTAACCAACTGAAACAGCCAGCGAGAAACTGCATTACTGCGAATTCTCTGCAGACTGTCGCATTTATTGTTACCCGAAATGCACCTTCCACAATTCACGAATTTTCAGCAGTCCCTTCGAAATAATGTTTTCCGGAAGCATTGCTGCATTTACATCTGGCTGGGCTAAAAGGACGATACTGCTCGGACACTTTAACGGAATTAACGGTCTATAGAATTAAGCGGAATCTTCTACAAAAGGTGCAATTCAATTCTTTAACCCCATTTGTTTCACGTAGCAGGTGGTTACATCTCCGAGTTCGTTCCTGACGAAAATAACTTCGCGTGTTAGATTCCACTGGTAAGGCTCATTACGATAAAAGAATTCTTTGATTTTATACAATTTCCATAATGAATCGTTGCAAAACAAATTTCGTTTCTAACGAAAGCAACGTTACATTTCATTCGTGAGGCTATTTAATTGAATTACAATATTTAATTGAAATTATAATTTTTAGTACAAATACGACATGATGTTAGAAGGAAAGGGACCTAGAACTTAAGATTTTATTCGCAAGAAATACTATTCGATGGAAAATATAATTTTTGATACAAGTGCGACGCTATGTTAAAAGGGAAGGGATCGAGATCATAAAATTCATTCACGAGGAAAACTATTAAATCAAAATTATAATTTTTGATACAAGTACGACGCGATGTTAGAAGCGAAGGGACCGAGAGTTTAAGATTTCATTCACGAGGAATATTATTTTATCAAAATTATAATTTTTAATACAAGTGCGACAATTTGTTAATAGGCAAGGGACCGAGAACTTAAGGTTTCATTCACGAGGAAAACTATTAAATCGAAATTATAATTTTTGATACAAGTGCGAGGCGATGTTAAAAAGGAAGGGACCGAGGGCTTAAGATTTCATTCACGAGAAAAACTACTCAAGTGAAATTATAATTTCTGATACAAGTGCGACGCTATGTTAGAAGGGAAGGAACCAAGAGCTTAAGATTTCTTTTACGAGGAATACTATTCAATGAAAATTATAATCTTCGATATTATATGGCAAGTGACCAAACGCTCCTAACCTAATAGAAGCACGTTCACCTAAGCAATCCAAGTGACAACGAGCATCGTTCAGTTCGAAATTGAAACTCGCAGAGACACGATATTTAATTTTCATTAAATCGACTGCCCTTTCGAGGGTAAACCGGCTAAGAAGGCTGGGGCATGTCGACTAGAAGGAATTTTTAAACGCAGAGTAAACGGGAAACGACGAAGAAACGGATCCGAACCGACCCATTTACTACTCTGTCTTCATACCTGAAAGCCGTCGTACGTCCAGGAGCCGAATTTCATCTCGCAGCGCTGATCATCAAAGGGAAACCAGGTAATGTCTATCTTGCAAGTGCTTTTGAATATGCCGGGCGGTACGTATAAGCAGGTCCCATTGTTCTTCACGACGACGTTCGTCGGGTAAGTGCCGTCGAACCCTTCGTCCGCGCTGTAACGAACAATCGTTAACGTTAATCGGGGTTCGATTGGTCTTTAACAGGGGTGCATTTGGGACGTAATCTTTGAACTCTCGAAACTCGAGTACGGGAGTTCGTGCGATTTCGAAACTTCCGACATCTCCGAAACTTTGGATCTTCGAAACTCGAGCAACCAAATGCTGATTTTATTTCGTAAGAATTTTTCGAAGAATTTGGCTTCGACGATCTGTATCTCGACGGAACTTTTGCGTTACAGAAAAATATGCAACTCGGAATATTAACAATTATTTAAAAATACCAATGGTCCACGTCAATCTGAATTTAGTATGTCTCCATTTTTCGTATTCTTCGATTTCATAGGAATAAAATTTCTAGGATTTTAACAGTAGTTTCGAGGATTTCAAGAGATATTACAAAAATTTTTAATTGAGAATTTTGAATCACGAAGGAGCAAAGCTTCCAATTTCCTGAATTTCGAGAAATTTGGAATACTCAGCAACCCATCGCTGATTTTTAAATCAACGTCAGATCTATTCCTCAGATACCTCGTTTTGAGGCAATATTATAAGAACACTCGCATCGTTATAATTAAAATCTATTATATATATTAAAATAATAGGTATGTTAAATAATATATTATATTAGGTGAAGTAAAAGAAATCCATTATTTTTGCATTCAATTTCATGCAAAAATAATTGATTTCTTTTTACTATACCTAATATAATGAAAAACGAAGTAAGTTAACAATGTTGGCCACCATCTGAATATTTCAGTATTTCTTTTTACTTCGCCTAATATATTAAAATTAAAATATGTTAAAAATCGAAAAGCGAAAGGTAGTCTCTCGTATCCCGATTGGATTAGGAGTTTTAACATTGTGTGCGAGGGATAATCAACAAATTCCTGTACAAATTAAAAAGCTTCCTGTTGGTGATAGTACGTCGTGCAATTTATTTCAATTAAAAATTTCGCGTTAATTGAAACTGGAAATATGAAGAATGGGAGTTTGAATAGAACGAAGAGATTGGCGCATGATTTCGTATAAACATAATTTTTGATACGTCCCGATGCCTTTTTCGTAAATTAAAAGCAAGACACGAGAAGCAGGCCTATTCGAACTCTTTTGTTACTAACGATCCTTTGTTCACGTGACAGGTGTATCTGAAAATTAAAATATCGAATTATTCCGCGTCTAGTAACCAATTTCGTTCTGTTTCGCAATCAATACATTTCATTTCGCGCTGAATTCCGAGTTTCCCTCTTAATCCCCTTAAACTTATAATAATATCAGCGATTCTTTATAAAATCGCGTTCAATTATGAAATGTAAAACGATAAAATGATAATTCGTAAGCCAAGCTTTTGTATGATCAAGGAAAATTTCTGCAAACTTCGCAAAATTACAGAGAATTGTAAATAATAATGTTCACTCAATTTCCGTTATCGAAAATGAAAGAATTATTTTTATTCGTTCTCACTGAACATTCATTCGTATGTACTCGGATGTTGAAAAAGGGTCGAGGATGAGTTAATTACCGAAATAATGACACATCCTCCCTAAAGAATTTTCGTGACACGAGCTATGCATTAAAATATTCAAAGCGAATCGCATTACCTTTTACATCCTTGTCCATCAGATATTATAAATTAATAAATCTCCTTGCCTACTTATCCCTCCATTTGCGGTCAGAATTTCACCAATTCTGAAACGTCTGCTTTATAATCGTGAGTCTTAATTGCCAAGCTAGGTGCCCGATTTATTTCTCACACACGCACACGTGCGATTTAAATCCTATCTCCGGAGTAACAAACATTATCGGAAGCAAGGAACAAAATATTGTGACACGGAGAATAAAGACCAATCTTATTCCTCCTTCCACGTAAAAATTAGTCCGGAATTTCGCGATCAACCGAAAGCTCCCTGGAGCTCGTAAATATTGAAAATAGCAAAGAAATTTGATTAGTCAATTGCTACGATTAATACCGAATATTCTCATGCGAGGGAATTCGCGGGTAAACAATTATTTCGAAATTCCAGTACACCAGAGAAACATGTACTCCAATTGATATTCCAAGATATATATCGCGACTCCGTTTTCCAGACGACAAAGGGAGATTGAAGTTTAAATTTCGCGAGCAAATCAGGTAAAATTCGAATTCGTTAAGGCAATAAAATTTGACAAATTGTGCGTGTTCAGTTATGTATGTTTAATTTCACGTATTGAGTATATTTAATTTTGTCACACGGTGTCCCCGATTTCGCTGTCAAATATCCGCTGTCATGCGATAAATTGCTGTTGTTCCAGCTGGGAGCACAGTCTCTGCAGGACTACTTAATTATAGAAAATTGCAGAAAGCACCTCTGTAGTTTCCTTTCAATTAATCGACCTGCCATAAGTTACGTTTCATTAAGATTCGTTTATAATAATATCGTAATAGAATTTCGCGTGAAATTCGACATTAGTTCGTCGCGTTACGTTTCCTGGACATCCTTGGCTGATGAATGTTTCAGCTTCCAGGAACGGGAATCGATGGAACCATGAAGCGAACTATGACGTTGATCTATCGACAAACGGCTTTTTCAAGCTTCCATCTAAGCTTTTTCTTATCATAATCGCTTCGTTTTCTTATATTCCTTTTCTTCTGTCATTTAATCTATAATGCATAAAACGTAACAGCATCCGTAATTTCGTGAAAGTCGATTTTTCATAGAACGAGAGAAATGTTTTCGAAATTGTTATTCGAAGAGTTATTATACGATATAAAATTTTGGTTTATATTTATTTTTGAAAATTATGGAAATTGGAAATATCGTCATCGAGTTGCTTGTAATTTGCAAACTGCTTTTTGTAATTAAAACAATCGTCGAAATACGGACGTAATACGCAAATATAATTTTTATAACGTTTAATTGATTACATGCCCGTTTAATGCGAGCGTAATTCTTGTCGGAGAACCGTGTGCGAATATTCGCAAATTCTATTCACCGCTTTACCCGGGGGGTAATTTAAAACTTCAAACCAAAGCAATCGTTAGAGAGAAGCGGTAAGCATTGAACTGAGAACCATCTAACTTGCAGGTTTGATCTCCTTCTCCTTTTCAGCTTGCTTCATTTAACCACAGTAGCTGCAAATCGGGAATTATCGGAAAGTCAGAGAAAAGATAGATTGCTCACTCGCTATCTTTCTGCATTCTATGCCCAGACCTAGCATTTCGTTCAAATGGATTTCAATAAGTTGTTTCTGCGATGCCGAAAGTATATCGGTGTTTGATGCATAGAACCGGCTGCCAAGTTAATTAGGGTAGTTCGAAGAGCGGGTGCTCGCGCTTCAATGAAATCAGTTCACGGAGATGTCTATCCTTCAGAAATAAATGAATACGTGCACTCTAAAACTGCTGTCTTCTTCTTTATCCTTTCATTCTGCTGCTTCGATAAAATTAATTTACCTTTGTGAAATGCACCGGCTCGCTAAATATAAATTCGCCAAATAGATCCGAAAAGTAATTCCGAAAGTGGTATGAAACAAATATTTGGTTTATAGTATAATAGAGTAAAATTATTTTCAGTAAAATATCGAAAAATAAATGTGAAGGTTATCATAAATGAACGACGATGAGATTATTTATTGATTACGATACGATTACATTGATCGAATAAATAAATAATTTTATATCGATCATGCAATCTTGCGTTTGTGTATGAAAATACGAGACTAAGTCTATTAATCTATTCAATGAAAAATAAAGTAAAGAAACTGTTAATGAATTAGTGAAAAAATCGGTGACTGAAGTTGTAAGAAATCCAACACTTAAAATAAATGGATTTAGTTTTATAGTAACTACTGCAGTGTTTATAGCAAACTGCTTGGAATAGCAACTGCTAGTCCAAGACCCAGAGGATGCGTCAGTCCTTTAATGACATGTGTCGAGATAGGAGGTACACCATTTAGATTAGGTGGTGGAGACACACCTTTATTCAGAACCAGTCAAAGACCAACATTTAGAATGGGAAACTCCAAAGAGAGAGCAGCTTGCACTGCAATTGGCAGGAAAAGCTGGTGAAAGACACAGGGATAGGGAAACCAAAGCTTTGGAAGCAGCAGGAAAATTACTAGTAACGTATCACATACACACGCAATTATTTAACAGATGTATTCTGATTTTTATCTTCTTTCTAGACTTCAGCTTTCCCAATTATCAATTAGATTCGATTCCTAAAGTAATTATTAATTACTAACGAAACGTTTGATAATTTATCACTGTCGATACATCGAATCATATATGCACGAAATAATGGATTAAAAGATACAAGTCTCCAAGTTTACCTACGCCTTACGTTTTCAGCGTGACAATTAACCCTTGCCTGCAAACTGCCTCGATAAGTAGCACCCCCAAACTTAATCACTCCACTCTGGTCCACATACACAATTATTTAACAGATCTATTCTGATTTCTATCTTCTTCTGAGGCTTCAACTTTCCCAATTTTCAATTAGATTCGATTCCTAAAATAAGTATCAATTACAAACGAAACGTCTGATAATTTATCACTCTCGATACATCGAATCATATACGCACGAAGTAACGGATCAAAAGTAGGAGTCTCCAAGTTTACCTACGACCTCCGTTTCCAGCGTGACAATTAACCCCTGCCTGCATACTGCCTCGATAAATAGCACCCCTAAACTTAATCGCTCCACTTTGGTGGCCCACCCCATTCTCCGTTGATCCCGAAAGAGGGTTCCTCGACAGCCGTGGTGCGTCCAAAAAATACGCCAGCATCCCTGCCTCTATTTATCCTCGTAATTGCGAGGAACTCGCACGGAAAATTCGCGCCCCGGCTCCGGATGACCCGTCGAGAATCGCTCGAGTATCGTTAATGAACATCTCGAAACTCCAACCCGAAGAACCTGCGGACCTTCTCAATTATTGTTTCTACCATCTCTGTGTGCAAGGGAGCCAGCACACAGGGAAATATGATTTTGAATGGGATGCATCGGGACGATTCCACG